CGTCCCCAGGCCGTGTCTCCGAGCCTGCGGCCCCCCGGGACGGAGGGTGGCTTTTCCTCGGGGACGAGCCCCCGGGGCCCTGCTGAGTCATGTCTGGGCCACGGTCCCGGTGGGGTTCTTGCCAGATCCTTTGCAAAGACCCGGGCCCACCCCTGTGGCTGTGGCTGTCCTGCAGCCCTGCGTCTGTGTCTGTGGCCGGGCAGCGGGTGTCCTGGCTGATGGATGTGTTTTGGGTCATCCCCCAGGCAAACGCAGGGGCCCACCCAGTGAGACCGTCTGTCGGTCTCGGCTCTGAAACAACAGCAGGGTGTCAATGTCAACCTCCTCCGTGTGTGAGAAGCTCATGACATCTTGAGTGCACTGCCACAAAGTGACCCGTGTGCGTCCCTTGTTTGTGAAAAGGGCTTCTTTTCTCATTGCTTCTTTCCGATCCGTTGCTGGGTGTCAAGTGTCCTCAGTGAGGTGGGGGGATAAAGGTGTGTAAAGACATCCCAGCATGCCAGAGATGGGTGGAATTCAGACCCAAGCCGTTCTCCGTGTCCCTTAACCCACCGGGGATATTGACCTGCACTAATCCATCGCAGAGTACCCAGCCCGCCCGGCTTGCTGTTTTTGTTCTAGCTTGTGGTGAAGGAATATTAAGGTCTTGTTTTGATTTGACACGCAGCCGGCGTACGGGGGCGTGGTGGGACTGGCGTCTGTGCTGTTGGCATACCTCATTTTTATTCCAGCGTGAAGCTCATGTGTGTTGAGTATCTTTGTAGACCTGTAGCTTTTCAGTGTGAAAGGACAGGCTTGGGGGCATGCTAATTTCTATTTGTCTCTTTTTTTGAGTTGGAGTCTCACTCCGTCACCCAGCCTGGAGCATAGTGGCACACTCACAGCCACCCCAGCAACAACCCACTGGGCTCCAGCGATCCTTTGCTTTAGCCTTCCAGGTGCACACTACCATGCCAGGCTAATTTTTTATTTATTGTAGAGATGAAGTCTTGCCAAATTGCCCAGGCTGGTCTCAAACCCACGAGCTCAGGCAGTCTTATCTCCTCAGCCTCCCAAAGTTCTAGGATGACAGGCTGAGTCATGGAGTCCAGCCCAGCCATCATGCCAGTTTCCTAAGACATGGTAAGATAGACTGCTTGGCCTGTTTACAGCAGTAGACTTGGAGGTTGGAGAAACCATCCTTGGGTTCATTTCGGATGCGTGAATGAATGACTTTTCAGGAATGGCATCTACACCTTCCGGTGATGCCGCCAGCCTCTCCAGGTGCAGGCTGTGAAATATTACCAGCAGCAGCTCCTGCCCAGCCCTGGGAGGAAACAAAGTGATGTTTTCTATCCTTCCCTTGTACTTTGCATGATTACTTTATTGTAAAACACCTTAAAATACAGTTTATCGTGGGTTAGTCTTTGAACACATTCGAAGGAGGTAAGTAGCTGACATCACTCTCAACAGCAGAGATGACACAGGAAGGGAAGTCGAAAGCCATGATCTCTTTAGCCTGTGACGAGTGAGCTAGATTGACGATGTCCTGGTTTGTGTTGTTTCAGAGCCCATGGGGCATCTTAACCTCTCTTAGTACCAGAAACTTAGATTTCTACATTGGGCAGTGAGTAGCACTTCAATTTAGCAGTAAGTAACGGTGACCTTACCAGAGACCAAAGAGAGCTGACGTTTGTCTCCTGACTGTACAGGTCCCTTGCGACACGTGGGCACATCTGTCTCTTCTCCGTGCAGCAGGAGGGTTGCCAAGATGCAGAGCACGTCGAATCACCTATGGCTGCTGTCCGATATCTTAGGCCAAGGAGCTACGGCAAATGTTTTCCGTGGGAGGCACAAGGTGGGTACAGAGAAAGCTCGGAAGGCTTTCGATCACTGTGTGTCCTTCCTGAGACGCACACTTGGACTAGTGAGTGTGAGTTGATCATTTTGATTTCTTCGTCTAAGGATTTTTTAAATGGCTTTTGTGGTTAGGGAGTAGATGTGTCCAGTGCACGTGTTGCCCAGCGGCAGCAAGAGCTTATGGGTCAGGGAGTAGAGGGAAATGAGGGTGCTGGAAGGCCTGGAGAGAGTAGCCGGGGCTGGGCCTTAACCTCCCAACCACTCTCCCCAGCCCAGCTCCCCTTGGTGGCCAGTACTCTCACTGCAGAGGTGTCTGTGGCCATGATCTGGGTGGGGGAAGCTACAGGGGACTCTGACATGCCTCGCTGAGAGTTCTCCGGGCACAACCTGCCATGAGGCTGGTGGGAGTAAGATGAGATTCTCAACAGGAACCAGGTTAAAAGGCCAGATTTGATGGGAGAGGAATTAAAGACCAATCCCAGAAGCACTCCAGGAACCGCAAGGATTTTGGGTCAGGTTCACTGTCGGAGGATGAAATTTAAGATAACTAAGATCATTTAAAGTGAAGAAATGGAAGATAATTGAAGTTTCTATTCTAGGAAAGAAGCTGGAAAAATGGTGGAGTGAGAAGTCCTTTTGTCATGCAATAGTCAGTCATCTCCAGCTCTGTAAATTTGTTTGGAGCTGGGTGATGTGTGGAGGCTCCTAGGTTCTAGTTTTCAGAAACAGGCTCTGAGCAGTTGGGCGGAATTCACCAGGAAGGAACCGTCCTCCTTTCCTGTGGCCTCAGAGGACCAGTTGGCTCTGTGGGTGCCTGGGAGAGGTGTGCGGGGAGGGCGCTTCCTAGGGAGAGATCAGAAGCACCCAGGACAGCTTCTAGCTTCTCTCCCCCGATTCTAGAATTATCCACAGACCTTGAGTCCTTAGTCAAGTTTGGTGTGATCCATCTTGGATATTCCTGTCCTAGAAGTTGTTTTTCTTTTGTGCCAAGAAGAGGAGGTGGGTGGTGACCCAAGATTTAGCACTGAGAACATACCTGATAGTCTGTCTTCCCAGGTCCAGTTAACAAACGTCAGTGATCACTTGCGTGCACTGGGCACTGGGTGGACCTCTGAACATCACCACCACCGATGTGCTGTTCCTGCATGCAGTTTTGAGCATAGTGGCCAGATGGCATTAAGAGGGCGCTGAGGGGGACAAGCAGTGGTGACGCGATGGTTGAGATGATCCAGGGCCTGGTAGTGTGGGTGGGGGCCATACCCTCTGGCCCTTTCCCTAGAGCTTGCTTCCTCTGGGAAGCACCTGTACAGGAGAGAGGGGGCGGTGAGGATGGGTTGGATGACCTCGGGCAGCCCACGTCCTTCCAAGGAAGCAGGTGAACTCGATCCAGGAAATCCAGATGAGGACTGGAGAGGGTGAGGATGGACATGGGAGTTGCCGGGCCTGGTCTAGGGATCAGTCTCCAACGGCCTCCCAGGATGAGCTCAGAGAAGCCACGCTTGTTCTTAGTGACGCAGTTTCACGTGGTGGGGACTGTGCCCCAATCCTGCTTCCCCTTGGCTAGTCAGAGGATGTCGTGTTGCTGCATAGAATGACTGGGCCCTCGAGTTTGCTGCCTGCTCGTCAGTATGCCGCCTGCTTTGCCTGCTTCCTTTTCAGTAAATTACCTGTCGTTGCTGATGCGCGTGTGGTGACTGGTAAAGCGGAAGGGGAGGAGCGTAGGGGAGACACCTGGGTCCGCACGTGGGGATCTGTGTGTACGTATGACCTCGGCATGTGACCTGTGGACTCACTGACGGTGAATGAGGGGAAGGTGGAGCGTGTCCACAAGTCCCAGTAACCTCACAGGCAGAATGGGTGACTCAGGCTTGGCAAACGCCAGCCCTGGTGCCCCTGGGCCATCACCGCAGTGCACCTCCTTCCACCTGCGCCTCTGTGAGGATTCTCCTGACCTTGGGCCGAGCTTGAGGCCAGTGTCTTTAGGATACTCTCTGCTGGAGATGCATGATTTGGCCTGACCGCCCGTGCTGGACAGGTGACAGACAGTGGAATGGAGCGAGGTGGAGTTCTCTTCCTCTCTGCGTGTGTCTGCAGAAGGACATTGGCTCTCCTCATCTTTCATTTTCCTCTGGAAAGAATATTTGTCCGAGTGTTTGGTGTGACCAGGGTGAGGAAGTCGTGTAGCTGGTGCCCTCATGTTGTGGCTTCTAGGGCTGTGATGAGGAAGAGGGCAGAGGTTTCAAGAAAAGGTCATGTGATTGGAGCAAGAGGAGGTGGCTCCAAGGGGGACCAGTGTGGGTGGACTGAGAGAGTCCCAAGGTCCTGGCACGCAGGCGGGTGTCGGCTGTGGGCAGGCACTTGAACCCAACTCAAGAGGGGACTTCTTCTCGCTCTGGGGAAGGTCACCCTTGGATACATGGGGACGTGTTATACTTGGAATCCGGCCTGGCACCAGGGCGGGGCCTGCTGACAACAGTGACTAGAAGGAAGTAGGGGCCCAGAAGCATCTGGGGCAAGGTTCCTGCAAGTGCCCTGAAGCTCCCCTGAAGTGCCGGCGTGTTCTCCTGCCTCCCAGCTGCCCTCCCGGCCTTGACCTTCCTCAGCTGGCCATGGCGGAGTATTTAGAGACCTCAGGAGGGGGCAGAAGTTCTTCTGATCGGCAGATTGTCTGTGAAGGCGTGTCTGCGAGGAGCTGGAGGAGTCCTCCGAGTCCCCGTAGGAAGTTGGTGTGAGCCTCACGTCCCTTCCTCCCCACCCACCAGGTTGTAGCCAGGAATATTTCTTTTTTATTTTTTTTTTTGAGTTGGAGTCTTACTCGGTGGCCCAGACTGGAGTGCAGTGGCCGCTCCCGGCCACCGCAGCCTCGCCTGCTGGGCTCTGGCAATCCTTCCGCCTCAGCCTTCCGAGTAGCTGGAATTACAGGTATACGCTACCATGCCCGGCTGATTTTTTGATTTATTGTAGAGATGAGGTCTCGCTGCCCGGGCAGGTCTCGAACCTGCGGGCTCAGGCAATCCACTCACCTCAGCCTCCCAAAGGCGCGGGATTACAGGCTGAGTCACCAAGCCCAGCTAGGAATATTTCTGAAGAGCTAATTGCATTACTTGGCTGTCCTTAGGCCAAGTTTCATAAGTGGAGTGTACTTTGGAGTGTGTCCTGTTGTGATTGTTTCTAATTTATTAGGCCGTGGAAAAGGACTTGTGAATTTCACTTTCTGTTTCTTATCCCAAAGGTGATTTTGCTTTTGATACTGTGAGAGCTATCCTCATCCAGTGTGAGTGACTGTTTTTGCCGCTAGTGCATCATAATGAAAACTTTATCCACAATATGAAGGAAAGCAGCCCTTTCCAAATACTAAAGCCGACAGGTTGAAAGAAATGTTGAGCAGTTGATGGATTCATTTTTCATCTTAAAAAAAAAAAAAGTCGGGAGCCCTTATACAAACTATGCCTGAAAGATGCATGGTGGTGTTCTGCAAGAAAGAGGAATTGCTATTGCGAGTTATAATAGAACCTTTGATCTTCTTTACAATATTATAAATAAAATGTTTCCTTCTTTTTTTCCCAGAAAACCGGTGACTTATTTGCCATCAAAGTATTTAATAACATAAGCTTCCTTCGTCCAGTGGACGTTCAGATGAGAGAATTTGAAGTGCTGAAAAAACTCAATCACAAAAATATTGTCAAACTGTTTGCAATTGAAGAGGAGGTAAGTAGTCAAGCTTCAGTTGATCCTATCTTCATGGCTGTTGTAGTTATGATTCAAAAGACATAATCTAATATTTAAAAATGAGTTTTGAAAAAACGGATTGGTCAGACACGGTGGTTCACACCTGGCATCCCAGCACTTTGGAAGGCCGAGGCAAGCAAATTGCTTGAGCCCAGGACTTTGAGACCAGCCTGGGCAACATAGTGAGACTTTGCCTCTACAAAAAATTAGCCAGGTATGATGACACTCACCTGTAGTCCCAGTTACTCGGGAGGCTGAGATGGGAGACTCACCTGAGCCCAGGAGGTCAAGGCTGCAGTGAGCAGTGGTTGTGCAGTGAGCAGTGGTTGTGACAGAGTGAGACCCCAACTCAAAAAAAAAATAAAGTGTAGAAATTTAGATTATAAAGTTCATCAATTATAAAATAATTGATTTTAAGGGGAAACAGAAAGTAAGGTCATTAGGAAAGTTAATCTAGAGATAATAGAAATGTATGCCATCCCTTTCGACTTGAGTAATCAATAATATCTTTCCTTTGAAAAACAATTTGGTTGTTTTTACTGCTTATCCTAGTGGTTTCATTTTTAGTGGCTATTTTCTAGAAAGAAATCAGAAATGTAAATTATAATTTGGTACATAAAGAGGTTCATTCATGCCCTGTTTATAACAAAGAATGGATAAATAAGTGGCATAAGCTTGAAGGTGTGATGGGTACTTACCTGGACTTGGCCACACTCAAGTTTAAGAGCGGAGCCTTCCAGACAGCCGTGTCTGCCCAGGGCTTCTGATGCCAGTGGCACAGAATCTGGCAGTCTACTCCATCGGAGAGAGAGGTCCCCACAGGACTTCCCTCTCTCCACACCAGCTGCCCACAAATTGGGGGTTCCTGTGCATGCTCAGATCTGGTAATCCTAGAATGTGGAGTGACTCTCAGAACTCAGACAAGTGCTCCACTTATGATTGTGGTTTTATCATGGCAGGATGCAGGTTAAAACCAGCCAAGGAAGAGGCTCGGGACAGTACGGAGAGGGCTGCAGACCGGAAGCCTCCTTGTCCTCAGGGCACATTGCCCTCCTGTATGGGTGGACAATGGTGCCCATAGGGTATGGACGCTCCGGGAAGCTTCAGGGTCCAGGTATTTCTCTCCTGGCTGACCATTGGTCTCCAGCGCCTCCCAGAGGTTCCAACTGACTCTTCTAGTCTCCACGTCTTCTGGAGGTCAAACCCGCCGCGGTGTGTTAGACTGCCAGGGCCAGAACCCCCAGAGGAACAGAGACGAGTTCTGCCCTTCCAGACAGGATGTGTCAGGGCCAGAGGTCCTTCTCAGTAGCCAAGGGCAGAACCAGGCTGCTCCTTGGCTGAATGGGAGCTCTTCACTACGCAGCAGTAATAGAAGAGATATTTACCAGGATTTGAATTTTAACCTAGGAAAATGCTTCTATTTAGGGTTATTTGAGAAAACTAGGATTAAAAATGTGTATGTAGCATACCCTCGATATATACCATATGATGACAGACAGCATTGCTTATCTGTAATACATGATTTGAGCTATAGAAAGAAAGGCTGAAAGGAAACACTCCAAAATAATGCTGTTACAGAGATGTTCCTACTTTCTTTTTTTTTCTTTTTTCTTTTGAGTCAGAGTCTCACTCTGTTGTCCAGGCTGGAGTGCAATGGCACACTCACAGCCATCCCAGCGTCGACCTATTGGGCTCTGGCAATGCTTCCACCTCAGCCTTCCAAGTTGTCAGAAATACAGGTGCACACTAACATGCCCAGCTAATTTTTTTTTTTTTTTTTTTTTTGAGTTGGAGTCTCACTCTGTCGCCCAGACTGGAGTGCAGTGGCCGCTCCCGGCCACCGCAGCCTCGACCTGCTGGGCTCTGGCAATGCTTCCACCTCACCCTTCCAAGTTGCCAGAAATACAGGTGCACACTAACATGCCCAGCTAATTTTTTTTTTTTTTTTTTTTTTTTTGAGTTGGAATCTCCCTCTGTCCCCCAAAATGGAGTGCAGGGGCCGCTCCCGGCCACCGCAACCTCGACCTGCTGGGCTCCGGCGATCCTTCCACCTCAGCCTTCCAAGTAGCTGGAATTACAGGCATGCGCTACCACGCCCGGCTGATTTTTTGATTTATTGTAGAGATGAGGTCTCGCTGCCCAGGCAGGTCTTGAACCCGCGAGTTCAGGCAATCCACTCACCTCAGTCTCCCAAAGGCACGGGATTACAGGCTGAGCCACCGAGCCCGGCTTTTTTTTTTTTCTTTAAATTTATTATAGAGATGAGATCTCACCATATTGCCCAGGCTGGTCTTGAACCCACAGGCTTAGGCAGTCCTCTCACCTCGACCTCCCAAAGTGCTAGGATTACAGACTTGAGCCACTGCACCTGACTGAGTACCTACTTTCAACAATCAATATGCAGCATATTCAGAATATTTTTAGAAAAAAAAATACAAACAATGGCTCATACCCGTAGTCCCAGTACTTTGGGAGACCGAGGCCAGAGGATCCCTTGAAGCCAGGAACAGATTAGTTCAAGACTTGCCTGGGCAACATAGACCTTGTCCCAACAAAAACATTAAAGACTCTCTGAGTGTGGTGGTGTATGCCTGTAGTCTTTCACCGTTCTAGCAAATTTTACCTGTAAATGAAATCAGGTCGGTGCTGGCATATCATCAAAACTTAGATTTTCATATTGATTCCCAATCAGTGATTTTTTTTTTTCCAGACAACAACAAGACATAAAGTACTTATTATGGAATTTTGTCCCTGTGGAAGTTTATACACAGTTTTAGAAGAGCCATCTAATGCCTATGGACTGCCAGAATCTGAATTTTTAATCGTCTTGCGAGATGTGGGTATGTTTGCTTGTTTATATGATTTTATCTGTTTATGAGATTGAATATCACAGAATGGGAAAATTCCTTCCTCCAAAAGCACAAATGTCAAAACACAGAGAGGCGGGACCTCATCGCCATTAGAACCCAGGTATTTCAGGGACGGCAGACGGGTAGAGAGACAGTCCATGGGAGAGAGCATGTGGCCGATTATGAATCTGACAAGGAATTTTTATCCAGACAACGATAAAAAGACAACTCGATTTAAAATGGGCCAAGGGTTTGCTTAGACATTTCTCCAAAGCAGATAAACAAGTGGCCGGCAAGTATATGAGAAGAAGCTTAGCATCATTGATTATTAGGGAAATGCTAACCAAACCACAGTGAACTACCGCTTCATACCCACCAGGATGGCCGAGATCAAAAAGACAAGTGCCGGCAGGTATTGGCAAGGGTGGGGGGAAGTGGGACCCTCGTGCTGCTGGTGGGGCTGTAGGATGGCACAGCCACTTGGGGAAGCCGTGTGGCAGTTCCTCGAAAGGTTGAATACAGAATTACTCCAGACCCAGCAATTCCGTTGCTAGTTGTGTGCCCCAACAATTTTAAATCACAACCACGCAAAAACATGTGCTCCAGCATTCTTCCTAATCACCAAATATGGGAACAGCCTAAATGTCCCTCGGGTGATGAAGGGACAGACAAGAGTGGTATAGTCATACACTGGAGTGTTACTTGTTCGTTAAAAATATGAAAGATGAGCCGGGCTTGGTGGCTCATTGTAATCCCGTACTTTGGGAGGCTGAGGTGAGTGGATTGCCTGAACCCGTGGGTTCGAGACCCGCCTGGGCAACTTGGCGACACCTCATCTCTACAATAAATCAAAAATCACCTGGGTATGGTAGTGCGCACCTGTAGTTCCAGCTACTTGGAAGGCTGAGGCAGAAGGATCGCCGGAGCCCAGCAGTTTGAGGCTGCAGTGGCCGGGAGTGGCCACTGCACTCCAGTTTGGACGACAGAGTGAGACTCCAACTCAAAAAAAAAAAAAAAAAACCAAGCAAAAACAAAAATATGAAGGATGTAATCCCGTGCTTTGGGAGGCTGAAGTGAGTGAATTGCCTGAGCCTGCGGGTTCAAGACCCGCCTAGGCAACTTGACGAGACCTCATCTCTACAATAAATAAAAATTAGC